GGTCCGGGCTGGGGATTTGAACCCGCCACCTTAGGTGTATGTGGCTGGCGCCTTAGCCGGTTGAGCTATAGGCGCCGAGCCCAGCACTCAACTCTTAACCACAGTTAACTGTCCCTCAAAACACAAACTGAACCCCTGCTATCAGCCAGGCACCACACTCAGTGTTTAAACACAGATTGATTCATTGTGGTCCCAGCCCCCTACTGGAATGTCTAGGTGTGGGAAACAGGAAACCACTTAGAAGTAGGCCCCTACTGGGCCTCTCTCAAGTTCCTACTCCAACACTAATAGTGTCTGGCCAAGGTAAGAGACAAGGGGACTCAATACTGACATCCCTTGGGACAGCCCAGTGCTAAGAAGGTGCTGGAAGAATGAACCAGCCCTTAGACCTTAGGCCCTCCAGGAACCTCAGGCTGGAAGGGATCAGATAACACCAGCCAGTGAAAACAGCCCAGGGGCCCCTCAGCAGGCTGAGGTCAGGGAAGGCTTCCCAGAGGAGGCAGCTCCCTGAAAAAAAAGTTCAGAGCAGTGCCTTGCTAAGCCATACTACAGCCTGAAGGAAAGAAAGAATCAGAAATACTGGTCTTCTCTTTATTTAAAATTTTGATGTTTTATATTTTGTTCATCATAAATTTCAACATTGATTTTTTTAAAATGACATTAAAATATTACATACCTTGATTACTGAGCTTTTTGGCAGCCTCCTCTGAAATTCTGCACCAGAGCTGAGTGCCTCACTTGCTCTTCCCTAATCCCAGCCCTGGTTTAGAGGTTTAAACCCCTCATCTCCTATGACACATCAGAGTTCTCACCCTCAGGGAGGAAGGGACTGAGTAGAGGGGAATGTCATCCTATTGCAATAGCACAGTCACGAGTTGAGGGCTTCCCCTCCTCTCCACCCCAAGGCTTAGACACCCCACCACCCCATACTGCCTCCAGTTCTCCCATCTGTCCAGCATCTCTGCTTGCTAACCATGATCCCACCCCTGCTGAAAACCTTTCCATAGTTCCCAGTGCCCTCAAGTGCCCCTCAGCCCATCATTCTACTTGGTCAAGCACTGAAGTTAATAGATGAGGAAATGGAACACCCACAGAAAGGAAGTGACTTGCCTAAGTTGCCAATGACATACCCCAAACCCCAAGCTGGGCTGGCCCCATCTACAACTTCCTCTGTGTCACTTTTTATACTAGGTGTCAGCCTGGCAAATGGGGAGTCCTAGAAATTGTCTACTGACAAGTGCATAAACCATACTCTACCAACTCTCAGGTACTGGCTCTACACTGCCTCCTCCAGAAAGTCTTCCCTGACTGCCCCTCAGGCTCCTAGACTGAGCCATGCAGCTCATCACTGCTTCTGCTCACTCTCCAGTTGCTCCATTTGTGGAAGTCTACTTCCCCCCAATTCTCAATGTAGCCTGAGATATCCTAAGAGTCTGCACCCCTTCTTGTGTACTGCTCTCCACAGTGGAGCCCAGGACCTGGGAGGGCTCATAAAGGAACTCAGTCCCAGTCCAGAGGTATGTAAGAGTCATCTGGAATCTCTAATCCTCACCAGTCAGTCCTTCTTCAGGTCTGGCTTGAGTCCAGTCCTTTTGCTAGAGCCAAAACTTTTGCCTTTCTGTCTCTAACTACTATTTCAACCCCAATGGCAGAGTTTAAATTGATCAATCTTTCTCTGCCCCAGCCCAGCAACTCTCTTGTGACACCCTTACTGGTGACACTACTGACTAGTGACACCAGTTCCACCAGCCCAACAAGAAGATGACCAAGGCCCAGCACAGTGGCTCATACCTGCAATCCTAGCACTCTGGGAGGTCAAGGCAGGAGGATTGCTTGAGGTCAGGAGCTTGAGACCAAACTGAGCAAAGCAGGACCCTGTCTCTACCAAAAATAGAAAAATTGACAAGGCATGGTGGCAGGTGCCTATATTCCCAGGAGGCTGAGGTAAAAGGATTACTTGAGCCCAAGAGTCTGAGGTTGCTGTGAGCTAGGCTGAGACCATAGCACTCTAACCTGGGGAACAAAGTGAAACTGTCAAAAACAAAAAGATGATCAGAGCCTTAGCCAAGGACAAGCATGGTCCAGCTTCCTTCATGTCCTAAATGCCCACTGTTTGGCCAGCATGTGCCCAGACCCTGATAGATTTCTACCTTCATCTCATCACCTGGGATTCTTACTCCCTTTCAGGGAGGCTGTGAAAGGTGGAAACTTACCCAGGTCACTTGTTGGAGTCTACAGGGCCTTCAGAGGATGTGACGGTCTCTGTCCAATAGTGTCTGGGAGGCTTCCAGAGGGGACTCCTGACCTGGGCCTTGAAAATAAGTAGGAGAAAGGAAGGAAGCCATTTTGGGCAAAGAGGACTGAGTGTGCA